TACCGAAAAAAAAAAAAAAAAAGGGATATAGCCCAAAATGTGAAAACAGGAAAATACCGCTGTGTAATGCATTTATTTCAACAAAGTAACTGTAATCCAATTACCTCTCATTAAAATACTAACTGTAACCGAATATAGTTACTCATAATTTGTACTCTGATTACGTAACTCTGGTACATGTAATCTGTTACTCCCCAACACTGTGTATGGAGTTTAAAAACACAGTTGGAGAAAAAAAAAAAAGCTTTAATTTTAGTTTACTTTTTAGCTGTATTAAACAAAAGTCATCAAACTCTCCGACCTAACAACTTCGCTCACCTTCCTCTGCTGTTGTTTGGGCGGTGGAAGTTGAAATAGATTTGTGCAAATGAGACAACAACACGAGGCCTAACTTGGCGTCTGAAGGTGCTGTCAAAGGCTTTCTTCTTGTTTCATCCTCCTCCTCGCTCGCCCCTGTCATTACTGATGGCTGTGAGAGAGTGGAGAACAAAGGCCAGGCCCAGCTAATCGATCACCGAGCACAGCTATCAATCGACCGGCTCTTCCCCCGTTTGGCCCCAGATTGATAAGGCTGATCGCGGCGTGTCTGAGTGTTGGTGAAGTACACATGATAAGAGAGGATTCGGTCTCGTCTTGACATCTCTGCGTTTTCCGTTAGACCTGAGGACAGATGGAAGCACTTAAGGACAGCGCGTGTGGAGCGGAGGCAGTGGGAAGTCCTGGTCCCATGCAGTGAAGACGCAGGGATGCTGAAGTTTTTGCATTGCGTTGGAGTCATGATTATGGAGAGAACATGTTGCTGAGTTTTTGGTGTAAATTCTAAATCGCTGCTTGGTTATGCGGGTTATGTCAGTGTTTCCCAAACTTTTTTTTCCAGGGACGCTTATTTTAAAAGTCACAAACCTTCACGACCCAAGTCAATAGACATTATTCATAAATCACAAAATAAAGGTGGATTTGACCATTACTGAACATGAATGAGGATTTTTTTTTGTTTGTTGACTGAGTGATAGTGTCTCTTTGAACAATTAGTATTACTCAAATTGAAACAGAGAAGGAAATGCCTTGAAAATGAAAATTATGCTTTGAGATGATGAAGGAAATAATGATGGTTAAAATAATATTAGTTAAGTATAGTGACTATACTTTAATTTAAAATTATAAATTGGCCAAAATATCAATGTGAAGGGGCCGAGCGGTGTGTTATGCTGCACTAGCACATTACTTTTGTTTTATTTACCTACATTTGTTGGGGATAGGGAGGTGTTTTGTATTTGTTGTGGGTGTTGCACTATGTTGTTGTGTTTTGTTTTTATATTTATTATTGTCTTTTGTTAAATGTTATATTTTGTTGTCTTTAATAAAAAAAACAACAATGAACCAGCAATAAAAGGGATCCATAAGTCGCCTATTTGGACCTTAAATGTAGCCTCCTTTTTTTTCCCTTTTCAATGTTCAATTGAACCAGCAATATTGGAACAAAACAGTCAGTAAAATAATAACAAAAATGCCATATGTGGCCCTTTAATCTTTTTAATCCGGCCTGCCAAACTTGAATAATAGTAATAATAATGATAATAATTTTTCAGTGTTTTAAATTTTCAACAAATAGTAAAATCCGTGGGACTTGAAAGACGGATATTTAGTTGTGATGCTTTGTAAGGATTTTCAGTTATGGGACATTTCAGTAACATGGGATATGTTTTCTGCACATCCCATGTAATTTTTTTCCTCTTACGAACCAAAAAACTCCAGCCATCTGCTCCTGGTTCGGCCTTTCTGTCAAATTTTAGAACCTTTGTGGCCCACGAGTCAGAAAGTTTGCCCACCCCTGTTCTAGTTACAGGAGATATTAATAACAGGGCTGCAGACAATGGGGAAGAGAGTGGGGAGAGACATGAAGCAAACTGTTGGAGTTGTGGTGCAAACTTTAAATCACTGCATGGTTAGAAATTTGCATGAGAATTAGCAATGGCTTTGTGTGGTTCTGATTAATGAAGATAGAGAAGGTCATCTTTTTCCCAGTGAAAGAAAAGGACCTGAAGAACCAAATGTTTATCAAGTACCTCTCAACCTGTTATGACGCACAAGCATTCATAAGTTTAGCCACATACTGTCGTACTAAGTGGCAATGATTCTCTGCTCACAACAAGAAAGTCTTTTTTGGCCTTTTTTCTGTGTGGAGTTTGCAAGTTTCTCCCTGTGCTTGATTTGGTTTCCTTTGGGCACTAAGGTCTCACCCGTTAACCCAAAATGTGCGCCAGCTATGGAGCATTAAAATGGTCTGAATGAGTCTGATGAAAGTGAATGGACTCTTAAAACACTGAGGAGCACTTTTAGATTACCGACAAAGCACATTAATAGTTGACTCAAGTGTTTGGATCTCTGAATAGTCAAGAGAGAAAAGATGAAGGATTACGAAAACATGGATGAAACAAAACACAACGTCTTCTATCTTAATAATTGTGGAAACGACATGGAATGAAAGATGCACATAGACAGTGTTGGGAAGGTTACTTTTAAAATGTATTCCCCTACAGATTACAGATTACATACCCCAAAATGTACTTTGTAATGTAATCCATTAAATTACTTAAAGTGAGTAACGTAATCTGAATAATTTGGATTACTTGGTTTGCTGTAGAATAGTAAAGACCAGGATATCATAACATAAGAAGTTTTGTCTGCTAAAAGAAAATAACCAAATTAAAAATATAGTTGATAGAAGAGGAGGAGACACGGTCCCACACAGCATGGTTTAGTCCTGTTAAATCCTGTTTGAGACATAGTTTAGAGCTGGTTTTAGTCCTGGATTAGTCCTGGTTTAGATCTGGTTTAGTTCTGGTTTTAGACCTGGTTTAGTCCTAGTTTAGACCTAGTTTAGACCTAGTTTTAGACCTGGTTTTAGACTTGGTTTTAGACCTGGTTTTAGACCTGGTTTGGACCTGGTTTAGTCCTAGTTTAGACCTGGTTTAGACCTGGTTTTAGACCTGGTTTTAGACCTGGTTTAGACCTGGTTTAGAACTGGTTTAGTCCTGGTTTAGTCCTAGTTTAGACCTGGTTTAGACCTAGTTTAGACCTAGTTTTAGACCTTGTTTAGACCTGGTTTGGACCTGGTTTAGTCCTGGATTAGTCCTGGTTTAGATCTGGTTTAGTTCTGGTTTTAGACCTGGTTTAGTCCTAGTTTAGACCTAGTTTAGACCTAGTTTTAGACCTGGTTTTAGACTTGGTTTTAGACCTGGTTTTAGACCTGGTTTGGACCTGGTTTGGACCTGGTTTAGTCCTAGTTTAGACCTGGTTTAGACCTGGTTTTAGACCTGGTTTTAGACCTGGTTTAGAACTGGTTTAGTCCTGGTTTAGTTCTAGTTTAGACCTGGTTTAGACCTAGTTTAGACCTAGTTTTAGACCTGGTTTTAGACCTGGTTTTAGACCTGGTTTGGACCTGGTTTAGTCCTGGATTAGTCCTGGTTTAGATCTGGTTTAGTTCTGGTTTTAGACCTGGTTTAGTCCTAGTTTAGTCCTAGTTTAGACCTAGTTTAGACCTAGTTTTAGACCTGGTTTTAGACTTGGTTTTAGACCTGGTTTTAGACCTGGTTTGGACCTGGTTTGGACCTGGTTTAGTCCTAGTTTAGACCTGGTTTAGACCTGGTTTTAGACCTGGTTTAGACCTGGTTTAGACCTGGTTTAGTCCTGTTTAGTTAGACCTGTTTAGTCCTAGTTTAGACCTGGTTTAGTCCTAGTTTAGACCTGGTTTAGACCTAGTTTAGACCTAGTTTAGACCTAGTTTTAGACCTGGTTTTAGACCTGGTTTAGACCTGGTTTGGACCTGGTTTAGACCTGGTTTAGACCTGGTTTAGTGTCCGGCAATGAGTGGAATTACTGAAAAAAAAAAAAAAAAAAAAAAAAAAAAAGGGATATAGCCCAATGTGAAAACAGGAAAATACCTCTGTGTAATCCATTTATTTCTACAAAGTAACAGTAATCCAATTACCACTCACTTAAACAGTAACTGTAACTGAATATAGTTACTCATAATTTTTACTCTGATTACGTAACTCTGGTACATGTAATCTGTTACTCCCCAACACTGCACATAGACTACCAGTCAAAAGTTTGGACACACCATCTCATTCAACGTTTCTGTATGTTTACTACTTTCAAGATTTTATACACATACAAAATAGATAGATATATGGATTTATGTAGCAAAGAAAAGAAAAAATCCTCATAGTAGCCACACTTTGCTTTGCTTTGTCAAAAATATTTACTAGAGTTATTTAACTTTTTTTCTTTACTACTTAATTCCATATATCTCGCTTCATATATTTGACATCTCCTGTATCTGTATTCTGTATGTAGAAATGTACAAAGCAGTAAATATAAAGAAAAACAGCAGTGAATGACCAAACTTTTGATAGGGATCAGTTCTGGTTTAGTGATGTTCTGTTTAGTGAAGTGATGACGTATTTTTGACAGTAGAGTCGCAACTGTGAATTCGTCTTTGTACTGAAGAAAGTGTAATTGTAAATTTCCATTTTGTGATTGTAAGTCTTGATGTCGTATTCAATTCGTATTCTGATGGATAAAATACACACAATGCATTTTATGTACGACTGGACTCATTCGAGAGTTTACGAATAATTATTTTTTGCTCAGCCACAGCCAAATATGCACGGATTTCCCAAATATGCACAGATCTGCATCCTATTCACACAAATATTTCTGAATGCTTTCTTACTCCATACACTATTGTAATGCTGTCACTATAACAAAAAAATAATGCTAATTGTATGATATTGACTCTCTTTCCATATTTGCATGTGTGCTCAGAGAAAGACTGGAGCGTTTACAAAGTGTTGCTCAAACATTGAAATGATGTCTCACACTCTTTGGCCCGTGGTTGATGTGGGATTTCTCAGTGGGAGTGTGATTCTGCCACATTTGCATGGGGAGCCAGTCGGAGTAACACCTTTTTGTATTGTTTTCTGTCTGTTTCTCAGCTCTGATCGCTATCGGCCAGTACAGCGCCACCATCGAGACCGTAGACGCCGGCTGGTGTAAGGACATCACAGACCAGGGAGCCACGCAGATCGCACAGAGCAGCAAGTCCCTCCGGTACCTGGGGCTCATGAGATGTGACAAGGTAATGCACACAAACATCCACATTGTTTAGCATAGGTCAGGGACATTTCGTAAAGCTCAAAATGACAACAGCGGCCTCGCATGGCTTCTAAAATATGTTGATTTGAGCAACTGAAAGTCAGAAAATCAGTAAGAGAAAGGCAGATGAAGCAACATTCACAGGAAACAAGCAAGTTCATAACTGTCCCAGAGCGCCCCCTGTCTTTACACCCTCCTTCTGAGCAACAAAAAACTCCCAGAACCCCACAAAAAAAAGGGATATACCCACTTATCTCATACTCATAGCTTTGGTCGAATATTATTTGTCAAATTTTCTGCAGCAAAAATGACAGAATACGTAGTGTACCCCTTATTTGTTGGTTTGAACATTTCACACATTTTAAAGGGACAGACTGGAATTTTGGATATAGGACCTCATTTCCTAGTGAGCCAGAGTGTTGGAGACGTGTGGAGACACTTTTTAAAATATTCCATGCAGTCCTTGTATTTGCAGAGGTCGCTGGTGCTAGGCTAGTGCATGTCAATGGCCATAGTTAGCCTGCCACTACGCACTCCACAAAACACTCGAAGCAAATCTATTATCACGCCAGATTGTCGATGTAAATGTCTGTGTTGATCGAATAATGTTTGAAATAAAACTAACCTTGCATCGCATGAATCGTCACATGTTGAGGGACTATTTTCTCAGCAGCAGCAGAATTTTATTTTGCCAGTGAGATAGGTCCTAGGTGATATCAGTCCACCGCTGCCAAGCTTTCTATCAGGAAATACAACTCACTGCTGCTGCTCAGACATAAATCCTTCAAATGCAAGGTTGGTTTTATTTCTAAAATTATTCTGTCAACACAGACATTTACATCGACAGTTTGGCGTAATAATAGATTTGCTTTGTGGAGCGGGAAAGACTGTTTTTAGTGGCAGGCTAACTATGGCCATTGACATGCACTAGCCTAGCACCAGCGACCTCTGCAAATACAAGGACTGGATGGAATATTTTAAAAAGTATCTCCACACGTCTCCAACACTCTGGCTCACTAGGAAATAAGGTCCAAAATTCTGGACTGTCCCTTTAACATGAACAAAGTTGTGTACATGGTTAAGCAAAATGTATAGCGTCAATATTAGAAGGTCCAACCATAACAGAATACAGTGTGAAGAGGGTATTAATAATTCAATACTTTTAAAAATATAAAATGTATTTTGTGTTGCTCTATGTTAGAAAAGCTATCATATGCACTGTAAAGAAAATGATTAGTAAAAATATAGTTACTGACAGACAAAAATATCCTGATGGGAACAAGTGACATTCCCCGCTCCTTTTTGGCCTCCTCCCACCAACCCCTAATCTGAACAGGAAGCACATTTACGACGGCGCCATGGCAACAGCCCCGCCCATCTCTGTGATTGGGCCCCGTGCGCTCTTACCATTCGGCACAGTACTACGGCTGGGGCTCATTCACTTTGACATGAGTGGGATGGAGCAGACTGGGGAGAGGGAAACAGCTGCTTTAACCTAGAAACTTGAGTCCATTGTAGAAAAGCAGGTAAATGTGCAGTCCCAACTCAAGAGGGCCTCCATATGTCGACTGGTCTAATGAGTCAGCCTGGGTTTTAGGGGTTTTAGGGGCAGGGCCCATTTCGACAAAGCTATTTTAAAAGACCCCTCCCCCCCTTCTTCTGTAATGAGAGGAGAACATGCACAAGTTAAAGGTGCATTGTGTAACTTTTCTGGTGGAGGGTCCATCAAATGCTTTTCTTCATGGAGATGTTATTGTTTTGTCTGGAATGTTTCACGGTATCGTATTAAACCTTTCTATTTTCATGGAGACCAAACCAAGTTACAGGTCAGATCTGTGGAGAGGCAGCCCCGCTCACAGTCAGAGTCATGGTCATATTTCTGAGCTAAAAACCCACTTGTAATTTAAGAAGTCAAGGTTGTTTAATAGGGATATAACAATAACCAAAATATCGTGATATTGTATCGTGAAAAGTCTCACAATATCGTGGGCTGTCACAATATATATCAAATTACAATTTCGTTTGCTTAAATGCTTGGTTTTACAGTAGCAGCATCTTATGAACATTGGGAACTACATATCCCATGATTCATTTCAGTGCAAACAACATGAAGAGGTATGTTTTTTACTTGAATTTTTGGGATTGTGATGGAAATAATTCACACCAAAATCTTGTCAAGATATTTTAAAAGCAGAAACCTGTCCTATCTACAATTATACTAGCCTCTACAAAATATCGCAATAAATTTCGTACCATGAGATGCATATCGTGATAATATCATACAGAGAGATTTGGATATTGTTACATCCCTACTGTTTACTGTCATACTGTGGAACATTCCAGACAAAGCAATGTCATATCCATAGAAACAAGCAGGTGACAGATCCCCCACTAAAATGTCACACAGTGCACCTTTAAGAAGAGTGTAGGAAGTAAAGTATTTAGGAGTTTCCGTTTAACTCTTCGCTTTATTTGTGTTCATCCTCATTTAGAACTGCGTCATGGTTTAGTTCTAGTTTAGACCTGCTATGGTCCTGTAATAGACCTGGTGCTCAGAAAGCCACATATTTATTCAGGTGCTTGTTGGAAACGTTTCAGAACCACTGGTGTATTGTATCCAGCCAAATGTGGCAAACCATAAATACTGATGTGGTAAAAGATGACTTTCCCCCCTTGGCCGGGACCTGTATTTAGTGGAATCTGCCATTACAGTCGGATGGCCAGAGTAATCCCAAAGGTCGTTTTCATTTCTGATAGCTCATATTACTTGATTGATCAGTCAGCTTTGTGATCATAGGATCTGAGAGGTATCCCACTGAGCCCATAAGTCTTGTGCATTAATCAGGCTTTTTAAACGTTTTGTGAACCTTTAGCTCGGCTATTTTATAGTTTTTAATTTGTTAATTTGTGCTAGTGAATAGGATAAAAAACACAAAGGAGCTCTTCATGTAATACCACCTAAATTAAGGTTAAAGTATACTTTATTAATCCCTCATGGGGGAAATTAATTCTCTATATTAAACCTGTCAGGATGTCAGGAGCGGTGAGTTGCTTTTGAACACTACAGGGGACCCATCTCCAGATGTGGAGACTTGGTCAGGCTGGAAGATCGTCAATATTTTGCATTTCTGGGTTGATGGGGGGGAACAGGAAACATGCAAAAACATGCTAACTCAGCACAGAAAGGCCCGGCGTCCAGGGAGTCAAACTCACAGGGAGTCAGACTGCAGACCTTCTTGCTATAATGATACATGCATGAGTGGAAAGAAAAATAACTGCACGTTTCTCTATGAGTGAATACAGTACAAACAGTATTACATAACTAGTCATTTTATCTTAACCTATAAATTAGCCTTTACTTGATTGCATAGTGTCTCTGCTGGTCTACATTTTGTGCATGCTTTTCTTTCGTCGTCGTCCTCTCAACAAAAGCTTGGTTACTCTGTTCATGACCGCTTTTACTGGAGGCCATCTTGAAAGCTTCTTCATAACTCTTCATATTCTTATATTAAGTGTGCTGCTATGGGTGCCTTTAAGGTTTAACCCTATCTCTTAAGATGGCTACCCTCGACTCCTATTTATTAATAATGTAATAAAACGCTAACGTACGAGGGCACTGCGATGACCTCACGATGCCTGTACTTAATTCACATTGCCGCCTAGTGTATCTATCATATTTATCTAGCCGTAATAAAGCCTAACTGCATTACATAACATATGATCACTTAGATTGGATTTTCATTTTACACCGACCTCACGATCAATATCTTCCACCTTGCTAATAAAATCCTGTTTGGGAGGTGACCTACTTCGGCAATACAGCACTTTGAAGTTAGATTCCAATATATGCAGGTGATTGGTGAGAGTTTTATGAACTGAAGGAGCCGTGGTTTTTATATTGTGGTACATGAGTCTTTTATTGGACTGTCCCTTTTTGGCACTATATCCTGTCTTAAGGCCGCCACACACTACAACAGAATTATCCTGATTTAGGCTGTGATTTGCTTCTCCACGAGTTTGGGGAGGTGTGACCCAATTTTGTGTCTTTGTGTGCGATTTTGAAACCGTTGTGCTCCACATGTGTGGTGTCAGTGCGACTGTGAGCTGCTCTGTCACATGTAACCAACAAACAGCAGCCAATAAAACAGAGCGACGGACATGGAGGCACAGGATACAAACTCAGTAAATATCAAAAATAATTATTACTCACCTCTCGAAAAATTTAAACTGCAGCATCTCATCCATATTACTCATAAAGTTTGACCTCTGTAAATAATGACACCCAGTCCACAAACAGTGCTGTTAATCCAGTTTGAAGCGTTCTTTTAAAGTAAAAAGGTGAAAGTAGTTTCTCACATGTGTCTGTTTACATCCAGGCAGTGCTCGGATTGTGGTGAAGCTGTGGATTAAAGATAGTGACTCTACGTCCTGTGAACTTTATCACCAACTTCTGTGCATTAAAAATCATGTATCTGAAGTATTGCATCACATTTAACAAATAGTAACACAGTTTTGACTTGAATCCAAACTAGAAGTGCAGTGCTCTGATCTTTGACCACTTAAGAGTCTCAAAGCGACTCGTTTTACCGTAGACAGGAAACAGTTGACGTGATGTACGTGCACAACTTTACACTGTTTTATGCAGCCATATCCTGCAGGAGTCTTTGTGATCAGAGATTTTAAATCTCATAAGGTTCTCCTCTTGTCTGTGGTGTGTGCTTTTCGTCACATAAAAAAAAAAAAAATCCTGTAGTGTGTGATGGCCTTTAGTTCTGATTTGAGATTATAATATGAAGATCAAGATACCCAAAGCGCTTTACAGTTCATTATTCAGTCACTCCACACTCAATATGACATTGTTCCAATTCCAAATTGCAAGTTTACTCAAGGTTTGGTCCTGCATTTATTCATAGTTTTGTCTCTGATTTAGTCCTAGCTTGTAGCCTGGTTGATTTTTTTGTTTTGTTTTTTCTTTCTTTACCT